CCTACACGCTATAATAGATGCAAAATGTGTTATGGTGGATTAACAATTGCTTTCTCATGGCTCAGTCTGAAAAACCTGTAGGATCACTTGCATCTCACCCTCGCATATTGATAGTTGATACTCCTATCCATTCTTCTCCTCTGGATCTTCACCATCTGCCTCCTTCACTGCACCCTGCTTCATGAAAGATATCACCATTCTAATTGAGCAAGCTGATGCAATGCGCCCAAAGCCGTGACAAATAAAGTATTTTCTGGTTGGGACAAATTTGAGAGTGCTGATGGTCTCCACTTTTTCTCCACTCTATAAGAGTTTCTCCTCAAGTGGGATCAACTTGAGTGCTCCACTGGGTGTAGATGGCTGAACCCTACCTGAAGGGTGGTGTAAACTTGATACTGCTATGTTGTCTCTCTACATTCAGGGCCAGGGTTTGAACATTCTATAATGTCCAATAGGGATGCAACTGTACCATGTTGTCAACAGACGATCTCAACCCTCGAAGATTTCCAGCAACTCACATTTTAGCATGAGTTGATCAAATTCAGTATTATGCTCCTCCACTAAAGAATCTCTCTAACACAGATAGTGGAGCTTTATGAATAGATCATGTCGGTAATGCAGGGTAAATTATTCGTGTTGCATCTTTTATTTCATCTTGGACTAAATAGTGATTTTACTTTTTTCCTCGCGCTGGCTTAGGCGTTTCAACTTTTTTCACCACAAAACATTCTTCCTGACTGCTAATTTTACCCTTTCTGTCAGGTTGAACGTCCTTGTATTCAAAGACTAGTTTCACTGTATGGTGTCACTCGATAAATTCGTTTGGATCCATGCTACCGTCAAAATCCGATAACTACACATTTCCTCTAAGATTCCTCATTCTCGATATTCCATGCCAAATCATTAAGGTAATGGTTCTTTGTCGCAGGAAACTTCTCAATGAAAGGAATTCATTTCCTTCCCTTGATCTGGCAAGTCACTGTTGTGGTTATGAGTGACCTCATCAAATTGAATGCTCTCAAAGGCAGGAAGTCACTATTGCAGTTGGAGAATTTATAGTTGTATATCCTCCATAGTAAGCTACTGAATGCCTTTGGCAAATTTCTCCTAGCAACATTAAGTCATTTTCTCTCAATCAAGTTTTCAACTTGTGTAGGGTTGTAAATAAAAGATTGGTTGAAGTTTAGAGTTTTGGTGTCAAGCGTCGTAGCAAATTTTTAGTGGAGGTAGGAAGGTTGAAATTAAAAAATTTAAGATTGAGACTAGAAATTGTGATAGAAATGATATGGGTATGGTAGGAATTTTTTTTTGGAATTTTGGATTGTGACAAGAAAGATAAAACAACTAGGGTTCGATGGACTCATAACAAATGATATCATTCTAGCGCACTTAGAAGGCCTGAGAGAATACAAAAAATGCGTTTGAAAAGTTGTAGGATGGGTAACAGAAGTGAAGAGGATGGATTGCGGCTATTAATCGACATGAAAAGTGATGGGACAGTGAATCATTAATAGAAAAAGAACAATTTCTTGCTGTAAATGGTAGATGGCAGCGTCGTCGACAGTTGTCCGACTGAAAACAACGCACAAACATGGAATCGACGAGGTGCAAATGGCGAGGATCCACCTCCTATTCCTAGGCAAGCTACATACACCATGTATAATAGGAAGATGATACAACACTCTGATGAGTATAAATTAGATATAAATCTTTCACAATTCCTAAACTCCAAAAACTGAAAAATCCAAGCAACTCGCCTGCAATAAATATAAAAGTCCCCTAATAGAAAATGCCTAATTAATAAATAATAAAATAAGAAATAAATCAGAAAAGGAAGGGAAAAAATTATATAAAAATAAGCGAAAACTCACATTTTTCCCCTGCCGCAATAGCGGCTTCTCGTGATTCTGCGATTCCGCAAACCCGAAACCAACGCTTCGCATCAAATTCGCAAAGAGCCAAAATGTGAAGTGACGGTAGAAGAATTTCAAGGATATAAGGTGTTATTTCTTACCTACCAGGGTGTAAAAAAGTTTGGCATACCTATCTTTCATGAACTAATAATAAGAGGGCAAATAGTTATTTTTCTTTAATGCTTAAAAGAAGTTTACATTACCAACTAACGATAACCACACACACTAAAATGTTGAATAAATTTAATTGTGATGAACATACACACGCACACGCGCGCACAAATGGCTAATAAGCCACAGTAGAACAAACCATGCTTATTCATCTTTTCAAACCATAATATTGATTAAGTTCTGTTGTTTCAAAACAGTCTAGATTGAATGTTCTCTTTTGCAGGAATATTTTCCCTAAGAAATTAAAAAAAAAAAAAAAAAAAGAAGATAAAAAGGTGACCATATTCTGTGTGCTAATTCAACATTTTTAAACCAAAGGCAAATCATCAAGATAAGAGCATAATTGATGAGCCTTCTCTCTCTCTCTCTCTCTCTCTCTCTCTCTCTCTCTCTCTCTCTCTCTCTCTCTCTCTGTGTGTATCTCTGAGCTAATTTGAATGAAGGTTAAAGACAAAAAAAATTACTAATCGAGTGAAATGCGCCTTATTTTGCATACGAGGTGCGCCGTGGGGAGGTCAAGTTGATTCGAACCATCAGCTTTAAGTAGATTTCGGACGTCATCTCTGGAAGTTGAGACAAAAGTGTGAAACGTTGAAAGAAATGGTGGAATGGGCATTGAGAGTGCAGATAACACATTGCTGAGGTACTCTATGTCAGCAGACAACTGCTGCGCCCCACGTTCTGTGAGGTAATGGATTCCTCGCAGCTGCTCCATGAAGAGTGCAGTAGCACCCTCTGCAACCTATTAAAAAATAATTAATAAAAGGGAAAATCAACAAATAAACAATAGTCAGGAAACAATATTGTTTGGTAAATCTAAACTAGACAGTACTTAAAGAAATGAATTTTAAGAGTTTTGGCTGGTTTTCTGGAAGACTTCAATGAGCAAAACCCCAATCGCTTCCAGTTAGTTCTTTCAGTTTTAGGTTTTGGAATAGGTTGTTTGCAAGAAAAATAGGTTCTTTGGAAGAAACAGTCAAGGATGGCATAAGCTTGTCTTCCACATCTCGATTATGAAGAATAGGAAGAGATGATATGAGATTTAGAGGACAATCTTTCAAAAATACAGAATATTTAAATTAGTCCAATGGAGGAAGAAAGACGGGGAAATAACCATGGATTTAGAGAAGTGACACCTTACATATTTCAACATTTTTTTTTTCCCTCTGAAAATAGTAAATTGGCTGACAATAGAGTGCTAATTATACATTTACATCCTACAAGTAACGCATCTAAACTCCCCCCTACTCAAAGGCAAAACCTCCCAATTACTTTTCCTGATAACAAAAAAAAGGCAAATCAAAGATCACGGATTTGTTATTATGCTATAAAGCAAATCAAAACACCCAAATTGCTGTTTTTAATCTGATAAACTCCTCGAAAAGTTTTCGAGATACCATTTTATGTTCCTTCTCATACCTCACAAAAATAAATGCCCTTCAGACTTCTATATTTTGCCATTATCCTTGTTAGGATTTTCAATCAGCAGAAGATGACTTTTAAACAATGTGAATGCTAGGTTCAATGATTGAAAATATCTTTTAATGTACAGGGTTTATGTTCAAAATCTTATGTCCTTCTTCAGTCATATTAAACTCAATATACCAATAATTTTCTATCAATAAACCATATGTGGATTAACTTATACTTGAATTTTAACCATGAACCAAACATTATGTTTTCACAACAGTAACTAGCAGCAAGCATTTTCAAAAAAAATGTTGGTATAAAGAAAGCTATAAGTTGATAATAAGTGCTAACCTTAAACATCCACTCTGTTGCAAAAAACTGGACCTCTTCATTGCTAGATTCATTGTTGGAGAATCCCTCAGCAAGAGGTTCCAGCTGTTGGGGCAAAGTAAGGAGATACTCCCCAACACTAGTCACGTAAGCCTGGGGATAGGAACTAAAGCTCGGGAGTGGATGGGCACTTGGCTCTTCCACAGATGACCATAATGGCAGCCGAGATACATCATTTAATCGCTGCCTGACTTTCGATATGAGGACATCATACACAAGTTCATTCACTGTGTCCGCAAATGCTGCCACTCTTTGTGACGTGAGAGGAAGTGCATGGAAGCGCGGATCTTTTGACTGCATTGATTAAATAGAATTAATTGAAAAAATTTAGGAAAAAAAAAAAACTGAAGGTCGCAAAATTAAGAACAGAAAAAAATAGATTCATAATTTATACGTGGATGGTGAATAGAAATAAAAAGGTTTACTGGAGCTAAATGCTTGCTATGAGGAGACTACAAAAACAGTTGGACTGAAGCAAGAATGAAGAAAATTTCTGTTTGCTCTACCTAGCTTATCTAACCAATTTTCACTAGGAAAATCTCTACTAATCAGCTACAGAAAAGAAAAAAAATTAAATTTATAAGACCTGCATACTCTGCATAATTATTCGGATGAAGAACTTGAAAATGAATAAACAAAAGCAACAATAATTATCTGATAGGTTGCAGCAAAGTCCTAAAGGCAAACTGAACTCTAACCAATCCAGCGAAGCATGATATTCCATGAAAATGTTTAACCTGACTTTTCATATCAAACCGGATAGCGTGGACCTAATATATTACTAACTTAAGCAAGGCAAACTTAACGTTGTTGTACAGTTTAAAATCACGAACAAGAAAAAATATCCACATTCAAACAAACAAGAATGTAAAGCACATATTCTTATAAAATTGAAGAAATTCCTGTAAAGCAAACAAGTGAAAACAAAAAAGGCTAACTAAAATAGTTAAAGATAGAAAGGCAATTTCTATGAATAAAAATTATTGGGGACTACTTTTATTGAAAATTCCTAGGGAGGGATAGTTTAGTCTAGGGGCTTAGAAAATTATAAAGATTTATTTATAAATACGCAATTTGCGTTAGGGGGCATGCTTTAGATAGAGGATTTTCCCAGACTTAGGGAATGATTTTCCTATTTTGGGGTGGATTCCTTGAGTTTGGGGAAGGTGGCGGACAAAAGAGAATGCAGTGTAATCTGGGGCTCTGCCATAAGTGATTGTCGGAGCTTTTATTGCTTACCCACAATACTCATGGGCGCTGTCAGTATAAATCCAGCAACTGTCTTACAGGATCCTGCAGCTGTTACAAGCTAAAACAACAGCCATTTGATAGTCTCTCTTATTTCTTGTATTACCCAATCCATAGAGACTGTGTGTATAGTAAGTAGAGAAGCATATTTGGCGTATCTTTGGGTGAAGGGATTTCCTCATCTTTTGAATCAAGAAGTTGACCTAATGATCCATCGTGTAACAAGGCACATGTCTCACACTAAGCACACATGCCAATCAAGTAGTATATAGACTATGAGTCCAATAATCGATCCCATGGGGAACTATATTGTTTCTTAAGTTAAGCCAATTATTAGTGAACATGTTTACCTGTTTTATACAATTAATCAATTTCAAAAGTGACTTTAAATATCCTAATATTTACAAAAAATTAAAATGTTTTTGGTCCTTTTTAGTTTTTATTGATCAACTCCCTTAATCCAAGTGTTCCTAATGCAGTTGACAATCAATAACAAAACTACTCCTTATTCTCTCCCAAGATCATAATAAGCATCGAAGTTTCGTATTATAGTTTAGTGCCTTAAACCACAATATTTCTCAATTCATTGTACTTCCCTAGTAGAAATATTCCTATTCTACCAAGGAAGTGTGCATTAATTTAATTTTCCAATTAGTTTTCGTCTGAAATTTCTAGATCACAATAAGATTTAATATTCAATAGACCAAATTGAAAGTAAATAAAACACACAAAGTTAACATATCACATGATTATAACATTAGTGTCTGAAGCATTTGCTTGGCATGATGATATTTTTCTTAATAAAAAACTCATACCAGAGAGGGTTTTTATAATCCTGAGAGTCATATTGAGAGCATGATTGTACAAAAAGAAGTGGTGGAAGTTTTGTTGTGAAATTGGAGTGTGGTACTTGTTCGAGAGTTCTTGCCAATGCAAAGGAACACCATGGTGAGGGGAAAATGAGTTCCATTTAAGTCAGCCACTATTAATTCTTATTATGGGTTGCCTAACATTGGGATGGATGAATACTCAATATACATCTATAATGAGCCTGATTTTCAAGAAATGATAATTTTTTTTTACTTATGATAATGCTCATTCCCAATGGAAAATGAGGGTAACATTATTTTAGCTATGCTAAATTTATGCCGGACACCAATATTAGTGAGATCTTCAAAAATAGTGTTGTCCTAAACTACGGCATCAAAAAGGATAAATTAATAAATGTAGGTAGATTTATCCATTCTTCTATACTGAATATGATCAAGGGAGGCTCCACATTAGGACTACCACAATCATCATTGATTTATGCCTTATGTCGTAAGGCAGGTGCTTTGGGGACAATTCAAAGGAACAACTGTTCCCTAGTCGTGCTATGACTAGAGATAGTATTTTGCCTTATAAGATATCAACTTCTGAGGTGGTGAGAATTCTTACCGATCTTCCTCCCAACCATGTACTTATAGGGCTAGAGTGACTTCTTCCTTCTTAGAAGATCAGATTCATTCCCCGAGCGAGCAAATGATAGCAATGGAGCAATTGCAACAAGAATATGGTAAGAAAATTGATCATTATGTGGGCCAATATCAGCAGCAATTTCTTACCAACTGACTTCAACTCAGCTCTGGTGACCATTTTTGCCCACTGTCAGTTGAACATGGGCTCCGATGCAGCTCAATTTCCGACAGCGCCCCCATTCCAGCATTATACTGTGTTCACTTAGTCTATGGAGGAAGGAGATGATGATAATAATGACGACGATGATAATGAGTTCTAGCCATGCATTTCTGTTACTTTTACTTTACTGTTCTTTGTGTATTGTGTAGAATGTGTTTTGTTTAAATGTATATGTGGAAGTTATTTATTTGTGCTGTCCATTTGTTTTTGTTCTTTCTAATTCTATTGCTATGTTGTATATGTCTCCATCAGTATTTTAAGATTATACATGCTTCTCATTTGTGGCCTGCTGTTGAGATCATTCACATGTTTGTGCTTATAGTATATGTTTATTATTGAGTTCTCCAGAATGAGATTTTTCATTTTTTAGGGGAGGACACTAATGCTAAAATAATAGATATACATTCCCCAAAGTTATACTTACTACTGGAGATGATTTATACTAGAGATTTTAATATACCTTTTAGACAGCAAAAATAACTTTTTAATTTTATAAATTCTCAAATAATAATTGAAATTTTTTTTATCTTCATTAAAATATTATTTAGATTAATGACTTTAGAACATTCAATTATTACGAAACTATTATTTAAATTGATAGACCTTTGGAATTTTAATTTTTCATTCAAACATTTTAAGCATATAATTGACATATAATAATATTTAATTACTTTAAAATTTGAAATTTCAATGCTTACATCAAATTAAGGGACATAGACATGGATGAGCATTGACTAAAATATAATATAATAAAAAAAATGGTTAAATTAATGATTTAGTCAGTATATCAAAATGTGGGAATCAAGTTTAAATTAAAGTAAACAATCTTTATTCAAGAATGATGATTCTATAACATTCAGAAAACAAGAATATTTGAATCAAAAATCAAAAGAAAATCATATTATAAATAAAAAAATGAAAAAAGATGAGAAAATAGAAAAAGAGGAAAAAATGCTTGAGAATAATATTTTAGAAGTTATATTTAAATTTGTAACTATAGTTTTTTATTATTGGCTAGTCAAGACTTAACAAATATTCTTTAAAATATATTATATTTAGAAGAGAAAATAGATTATGCAATCAAGCTAAAGAATTTTTTAGAGTTTTAAATAATTAAAATCATTAGAAGTTCCTTATCACATATTACGCACCAAAAAACTTAGAATTAAGAAGCATATCATTAAAATAAGAGTTTAGGATATGATTAAAGCACAAAGGATATTTTCCAAAAATAATATTGATATAAGACTAAGAGTTTTTATACTATTATGAAATATTGATATAAGACTCTAGAGTTTTTAAACTATTATCAAATTTATCTTTTTGAAATAAAACTTTGTTATCAATATTTCTAAAAAAATCTAAGAAAAAAATTACTTGAGCCTAAGTAATATGTTCAGTTTGGAGGAATTTGTTAAGAGATTGAAAATATGTGTAGGGTCATTTTGGCATATTTCTATTCTATTTTATGTTTACTTATTTAATTTCTTGTGGTATCTTGTTAGTGTTTTGTAACAAAAATGCATCAGGATAGGAAAACTTAAAAGATAGTATAAAGTGAACATATACCAACATAGCAATCTGGCGCTATTTTGACAACTTTGAACATGGTGCCCTAGCAGTGCTAGCATTTTTCATCCATAATCTGAGAGCACCAAACCACGACACCACTTATACGAGCGTCAAACTGTCAATGGTAGGACGCTGAGTTTAAAGCACCACCATGCTAAACCCCATATCCAAAACCCGAGATCTAAACATTACGACATCCGAAATGCAGTCCCCAACGCCCATACACCATGTCACCCCAGCCCCAAGGACTGACATTAGTTAGTTTCACTCCATTTTGACGGTTTTGACACAACTTTTGTAGGAATTCTATATAAGAGGCTATTGTGGGAAACCTTATGTACAAAGTGTGAGTGGGTGGTTGTGTATGTGAATAGAAACATGCCAAAATCACCCTACATAACACATATTTTCAATCACTTAACACCCTACTAGGACTGCTGGTCTTTTCCAGCAAGTTTTAAACTATGAAATTTAAAAAATCCAGAAACATCAGCAATTAGCAAGAGAACTTGAAAAACTCCTACAGAATAATTCATTTGCAATAGGAATTCATGGGGAAACAAGCCTTGTTCATGTCTAGTCTTACAAAAACTTAGCAATGGAAACATCTCCAAGCAACTAAGACCTAGGAACTTCCATATTCAAAATACTACAAATAGGAATAAATGTAATATGCATCAAGTCTCTTGTTTGGAACTATCAATATGTGCCTCAACAAATACTAAGAAAAGAATATACCAGCCCATAACCACATATAAGTAGCTGCCTCCAACATGATGGCATTAACTAGAAAGACTTGCATGAAATGCTTAAATACATGTCTAATTTTACCTGTTCAAGGACATTAAGAAGCTTTCTAGCCTTCTCAGGCATGTCGCTGAGGCGCAAAGAAGAAACATCCAGTGCAGCTCTACCTGCAACAGACAATTCAACATTTGCATTGCCGCTTGCTGAATGAGATAGATCAATGTTTAAACCAAAAATAGAAAGGGATAGGCTTGTGCCAATTCTTGCTAGTGTAGCTCGTAAAGAAGCTTCAAAAACTGATGCTCTGCTTGTTAAGCAATCTGCAACAGTAAGGATCTGCAGTGCACCCTGAACAATGGACCACTCCTCTTCCTCAGATACAACATTCATGCTGCGCGCTCCTTCCTTTTTGTCAATTCCTGTATCCCTCTTTGAAGTATCACTTTGTACAACACTGTCCACTCCACATACTGACCTTAGGGATTTTAAGGTTTCTTGCAGGTTTGAGAGATATTGTAGCATCATCTCATCAAGGATACCAAGAAGCTCATCCACTTCAGAACCACCTGTAAAGCTTATGCACCTCTCTACAGCTGCTTCAAGAAGTACAATGACTTGAGGGATTGATTCTTCCATTCTTCGAACTGTTTCACTAAGTTCAATGCCTTGAGCACCTACACCGCGGGCAACGGCTCCACGGATATCTATTTCTACAATTGCTGAGGATAGGATAGCCCGCTCCATTTGGCCATACCTAGGTGAAAAAAATTATCAGTTCTTACCTAGGAATTTGTATGACACGATCTAGTCATCGAGTTAAAAAAAGCAGGGTGTTCCTAATAAGTTGAGAAACAGCTCCACTAAGCTAAGCTGCATGTCTGCCTTGTGTCAAGGCATTGAAAGCTTCTCATAGGGTTTAAGTTTACACCTTTTTTTGTACACTTCGTATGGAGAATAAACAGACTTCAATGTGGTTAGGAGAACCTTAACATCAGAATCTGTAAACAAATGTTGGATGTTCCTTGCAAAAGCACCAGTCATGTTATGAAGTTCGATTAACGCTTCAAGATGTTTGTTCAGAATTTTAGTGTAATTTGGTATGTCGCCGGATAGGATATCCATTACACCTGAAATTAGCAAATGAAGGTTTATGGTGAAATCACTTTAGACATATGGTATGGACCTTAACTACTTTAAGCAGATGAACTGATGTCTAGTAGAAAAAAAAAATTATTAAAAGTGATACCAGATTAAAATTTGTATCTCCATTCTATTTTAATGTCAGGAACTTCAGTGAAAATGAAAAGTTCAAAAGCTCTTAAAAAATAGTAAATAATTCAGTAATTCATAATCAAGCTATAAATTGCCTTGAACTCGTTCCCTTCCATACAAAAAAGCCTTGGCGCCTCATGTGCGAGTTTCCTTCCACTCTCCAGGACTTTTAAACACATTTTGAAGAATTCTTATGCAATGTGAAGGGAAAAGAGGATTTTAATCATTCTTCTAATAACGCCTCAGGCCAAATTTCCTCTTGTCAATGGATAATCACTTAAATCTTAACCAACGTAAGAAAACTGTCAATGGATAATCACTTCCAACTTGACCAACGTAAAAAAAAATAACGGGCAAGTCATTCAGAATAAATGAACAATGTTTCTTAAGTACAGTATTAAAAGCATGATTTCACTAGAATAGAACTCTGATGGGCTAGTACTATAAGACTTTTTATTTTCTTTGGTGCTTACTCTTAAAAGAAATAGTACTATAATCCAACCTCAAGATATTGGAAAGATATGCAGGAAACATTATGTACCAATTCCAAAGAGCGGTATGATCCATTATGAAAAAGGACTAGTTTCTTCAACTTTAAAAGCATATTTTGGTGAGGATTATGACTTGTTTGACTGGATTCGAAACATACTACCAAACAGTATTAAAAACTTGCATGTCATCCCGTCAAACTTAATACTGTTCATACAGGTTAATTTAGCTAATCTAGGTCTAGGGATTAAGCAAAACCATCACCTCTACGTTAACTTTTTCCAAGGGAAAATGAAAATTTATATATCTATCATTCAATAAAAACAGAACACAATGAGGTGCACAAACTTTTCTATTATAATAAAATGGTACATAGAACAGATTCATATGAGAACCCTAAAAGCCTTCACTACTACCAATGAGAGGAGTGCGAACAAATCATATGAACAAGGATTTGAACTTTTCCTGTTGCAAGGTTACTTTATGTGAGCTACTCAAGCAAGCTCCCAAATAGAATTATACATCTATGATAATAAAAAAAGTTAATGCACAGACCAAACAAAACAGAAATTATAGGGGATTTCAGTGGAGAAGAAAACCTAACAGTCGGATTTGGAAAGTAAAAATCACATAATCATGATGATTTTAAGATATGCTCTCAAGATCCAATCCTTTAGGAAATTTTAGATGCATAAGCAATATGAACACCATGGAGGATGCATTCACATAACATTCTGAACCTCATTAAGAAATATCCATAAGAAAAGCTGCTGGGCAGCATAAGTCTAAACCTAGATGAAAGCTCAGTATGACATTCTAATTTTTAAGATACGTCATTCTAAGTTTTTAAGCACGTGGATCGAACTGCTTGAAAATAAATAAAGCATAAAATCAATGTTATATGCGGACCAATTTAACAGTTTAACTGATTAAAAGCTTCATGAAATCAAACCTTTAATTAATGCTTTGGTTTCAGGAACGACATCCCCAGTTGCAAGGTTGATACGCTGAACAAAACTAGAACACAACTCAGCCATGGTCTCATCCAATAGCTTTGGGACCAGAGACATGTAATCCTCAGGTAAAGCATTCATGCACCTACAAGCATCACGCTGGTCAGCATTGAGCTCGGTTCTTAAACTTGGAATTTAAAAGGTGTATTTTAACATCAATTTCAGTTGAACTTAATACTGGAATAAGACCCGAAGGCAGCACTAAAAAGGCTTTAAAAAATATGCAGGCTAATGCGAAACAACAAAGGCTCTGCATTCCATACAAAGTATCATCCTTGCAGAAACTGGCAATAGAATTTGGCAGTATTATCCTTCTATTGCAGATTTGCAGTCAGCAATGATTAGTGTACTGTCAGTATCTCAGAAATACAAGATGTACAATCACTGCTTTAAAAAAATTAGCTTAGAAGCTCATTTTGCAATAAGTGGTAATGCTTTGCTGAAACACCCTGCAACTATGGGATTAAAATTTACATTTTAAACGAAGTATCAACCTTCAAAACCAGCTTTGTTTGTTTCGCTTGTAAGCTTCCAAAACTCAGGCCTATTATATTTCTATAAAGAGTAACGCTACACTTCCAAATATAAATGCATATGTAACTTAAATTAATGCCATATCACAAGCGCCACCCCTTTTCCAACATGCTCATATAGACATTTATATTTCTCTGAAGCAAGAAAATTAAAAAAAAATCTTTTTTGCATAATTTAAGTTGGTTGAACAATAAAAAAGTCAATTATTACGATTTAATAAAGAGGACTTAAATATATTAACCAATTAAAAATCAAAATTCCTTATGATTCATGAAAACAATAAAAAGAATGAAGTTGACATGAAAAAGTTGAGACAAGGCTATTGATGACAGTGCTTTTATACACATTAAAAATAAGGTACTATGGGATATAACATTTCCATTAAAAAAAAGTGAGATGAAAATATTTGGAAGGCAGTCGAAACTCCACATATGAGGTGAAATGACACAAACTTTGATATTTTTGAGGATTAAAGTATTATTCTTTAGCATAATGAACAAATCTCAAGCTTATCTTGAGTTATTTTCGTTGAGAGTTGGAATAGAGGAGCTTGATTTTATTGAAATGAGGGGTATTAAGTAATAACAGCCAGAGAATTGATTGCCGTTAAATCTTATACTCCCCCTCAAGTTGAAGCCTAGATGTCAATCATTTTCAATTTGAATTTAAAGTCAACTAACAAAGGTCGAGGAAAATTGTTGGTAAGGATATCCGCTAGTTGATCATTGGAGAACACAAGCTTGCCCCGACTCAATCTTTTCCTTAATGAAGTGTCTATCAATCTTCATATATTTGGTACGATCATGCTGAAATGGATCGTGCGCAATGCTAATTGTGGTTTTATTATCACAAAATAGTTGCAGTGGGACGGAGGTTAGCATATGAAGTTCACGAAGCATGATGCGTAGCCAGAGGGGTTTACAGATCCCCAAGAGCATGGACCACAATTTAGCTTTAGCATTGCTCCATGCAACTACTGATTATTTTTTGCTTTTCCATATGACCAGATTTCTCCATACAAATGAGCGATACCCCAAGGTGGAACGTTGGTCATGAACCGACCAAGCCGAATCAGCATCTGTATAAACAACAATAGACCGAGAGGTGTGACTTTGACGAGAGAAAAACAAACAAGTCGGCGTACCTTTTAAATAGTGAAGAATTCGTTGGATAGCTTGGAGATGGTGCTCATAGGGATCATGTAAGAATTGACTAATTATGCTAACTGTGTGGCATATGTTGAAGCGATTATGGGCAAGGTAGATAAGTTTCCCCACACCGCGCCGGTAGTGAGTTTTGTTGACAGACACAACATCGAATAAATTTTCATTAGGATCCATAGACACAACCACTGGTTTGAACAGCAGAAGGTTGTTATCTTTCAAGCGATCAACCGCATATTTGCGCTAAGATAGACAAATGCCCCGAGATAATCGAGCCACTTCCATGCCTAAGAAGTACCGGGGAGTTCTCAAATCCTTCATCTTAAAGGGCTTAGAAAGAATGTCTTTCAAGGACTCAAATGCTAAAAGATCGTTACGTATAAGAATAATATCATCAACAAAAACAATAAGGATATCTACATGGTCATTATAGAAATGCTGGAAGGAGAGACTGTGATCCAATTAAGCCCGAGTAAAATCATGACCCGCGACAACCTTTGTGAACTTATCGAACCAGACCCTTAGGAATACTTTAGCCTATAAAGAGACTTTCGTAGCCAACACACTTGCGCTTTAGAGGCAGTATAGTTAAAGTCGGAAGCGAGAGACATGTATACTTCTTCTATAAGCTCTCCATTCAAGAACACGTTCTTGACATCTAGCTGGAATAAAGACCAATCCAGATTTACTGCAAGGGACAACAGAACCCGAATAGTGTTTAATGTAGTCATAAGAGTAATGTCTCCTCATAGTCAACTTCGTAGGACTGTGAGTACCCTTTTGCGACCAATCATGCCTTGTTGCGTTCAAAGGATCCATCTGAGTGGAACTTGATGCTGAAAATCCATCGGCACCACATAACTTTTTTAGAGCAACCTCAATAGTAGCTAGAATGTGATGGTCCGTCGTGGTAGTAGCAAATGCTATGTAGGTCTGAGATAAACTGCGAAAAGAGAAATATTTTGCCATAAAATAGAGGAAGCATGTTTGATTACATACCTTACTCAGAGAACTCATATCCTCATTCGGAGGATTGGTCGTGTTGAGGATGTTGCCTAAAGTGGAGTTAAGGTCTTGTAAGGAGGTAGCGAACTCCAAAGTAGGAGCATTGGAACAGGTGCGCCGAATGTAGACACAGATAGGAGGAGATGGTGCACTCACCATATTGAGAAACTCACCGGATGGTGCACTCACTAGAACAATGACTCTTCAATGACAGAAACACTAGGGGGAACATCCATAGGATTAGGATAAGGGATGGTGCCTAAAAACCCACACTCCCCCTCACTTAGGGTAGAGCTAGGAAAATAGAGAATACTTTCAAAGAAGAAGACATCAACACTCACATAGATTTTGTTAGTGGTTAGATCAAGACACCGATACCCCTTTTGAGTAGCGGAGTACCCAAGGAAGATACATTTTATGGATCTGGGATCAAGTTTATTCCGATTGGGGGCAGTGTTCTGAACAAAGGTAGTGCACCAAAAATCTTGGGTTCTAATATGAAGAAAACCCGATTAGCAGGTAAGCCTGACATTAGGACGGCTAAAGGGACTCGAAACATGTGAATTTTAGAGGGGACTCTATTTATGAGATAAGTGACAGTGAGAATGATATCGTTCAAAAACATTTCGGGCATTAGATTGAAACATAACGAAACGAGCAATGTCAAGTAGGTAACGATTTTTTCTCTCAGCTATCCCATTTTATTGAGGAGTGTTCGTATAAGAGTTATGATGGATGATGCCCTTACTCACCAAGAATTCACCTAAAATTGAGTTGATAAACTCATGACCATATCAGTTCGAAGAACCTGAATAGGAGTTTTGAATTGAGTTAAAACAAAGATATAGAAATTTTGAAAGGTGAAAACAACTTCTGATTTGTCTTTTAAAATATAAACTCATGTCATTCGAGTGTAATCATTAATTAAAGTTAAGATAACACATTTTATTGGTGTAGTTGAGAGTGCAAGAAGATCCCCACAGGTCACTGTGAATGAGAGAGAAATGAGCGAAAGGAGTGTAAGTGTGGTGTAGGCACTGTATCTGATGATGTTTGACTAACTGACATATCTCACAATTGAAATTAGAAAGATTTTTATTAAAAAAAATTAAATGATATAATTTTTTTAAATATTGAAAACTAGGATAACCTAAACGACAATACAACAACATAATGAAATATTCAATGACTTGAGATAAGCTACAACTCCTGAAAAGTGTTCGTACTTTCCGTGCTCTTTTCATGGAAGTAATAGAGTGTGCCTACCCTCTTAGTAGTTACAATCATCCTCCCCGACCGACGATCATGAAAAACACAACTATCATAAGAGAAATTAGCAACGCAATCAACATCATTCGTCAGTTTACTGACAGATAACAAGTTACATTGCAATTGCAGAACATGCAAAACATATTCCAGAGTTAGATTAGTTGTTTGTACAATCAACCATTTACCAGCCATGAAACTATAGGAACCATCGGCAATTCTAAATGTATCTTTTCCAGAGCAAGGATAGTACGTTAAGAAAGCTTGCAAGAATCCAATTATATGATATGTGGCTCATGGATCAAATCCATGGACTAGAAAATGAATAAACTGTGAGAGTCATAGAGAAAGTACCTTTTCGGACATGGGAGATTGACGGATCCGTAAAGACTTGATTGGCTCCAAGAATGTCGATCAATTGCTCCATCTAGTTTTTCAGTGATTCAGAAGATTTCAAAATGTTTTGGGCAGGAGTCGTTGAGCCGTGGTAGGTTCGATCGTTGCCATAAGACCCTTAATATCAGAGAATTTGGTCGAAGCTTTGTAAGACGGTTCACCGTGAAGCTTCCAACACTTGTTCCGAGTGTGTTTGGGTTAGTGACAATAATCACAAGTATGGTGACCAGTCTGAGGTTCCATGGATGAGGGCTGAGCACTATTTCAAATCAAGGCGAACGTTTTGACTGAAGAAGTAGAGCATGACAAGTCTTCGGTTTTCTTTTCGACGGATCTCGATGAAAGCGGCGCGAATGGAAAGAAGAGGGTCTTGATCAAGAATATGACCTCAAACTTCGTCAAGGTTTTTGTTAAGGTCAGGAATTGGAACATACGATTCTTTTCTACAATCTTCTGAAAAACAGATAAGTAGGCCAGAGAATCTAAAGTGCAGTCGTAGTACAGGTCGCATTCCATCCATAGTGCAACAAGGTGATTATAGTAATGAGTCACGATCCTTGACCCATGTTTTGCTTCCCGGATTTTCTTAGATACCTTATAGAGTTTGTTGGAATTTCCTACAATCGAGTAGGTATCACAGACAATCGTCCAGAGAACAATGGCAAAAGCGAGGATCATATATGAACAACTAATCAGACAATCGTCCAGAGAACAATGGCAA